GGGAAAACGCGACGCATATATTTACCTATGTTGTTACACATGCAAATCGGGCGTTACTTTTTGAGGCGACTGTACATTTATCAATGTTTACTTCAAAATTAAAAATACGTATATTTATTTTTATGTTCAATGAAATTTCCGATTGATTTAAATATATCAATTATTTAGGTTCTACAAGCTTTTGTTCTGTATCTCCGAATAAAGGTAAAATCAAAGAATTCAAAATACTTACCTTGCATTTGTGACTACTGAATGTGATAAAAATGTCAAAATGAAGATAAAAATTTATTATTTATTTGTTTTATTTTATTCATATGATATAATATTGAGAATAATGCGGTCGAAAATTTATTTTTAAGCTTAAAACAATTAACCATATCATGTAAGTATTTTTCATTAACAGTAGAGTCATAACAGTTTGAATATCGTGTTATGCTGTAGAACTGAAAATGCAAAGTATGCGGTTCTATCAACTATAGTTGACTATAGTCATCTTCGTAAATAGATTTGATAAAATCAAAAAGTTCCTCAGCATTGGTCCATTTTCTGCAATAGGGTACCAACATTTGTTAATAATAAATTTGCATCATCCGGAACCTTATTTGGGTATTATGACTTCGATTATTAGATGCTATAACCTCGTACACAACCATTTCAAAACATAAACTTCTATGATATTAGTGTATAATTTTTCATTGAGTACCTCTGGACTCATATATAAGGAATTTCTTGATTCGATTTTTTATATATGCTGAATCAAAAATCAGCAATTTGAGGAGTATTACGTGTTAATAATATACATGTACATGTATATCCAGAATGAAAGCCACGATGCACAAATTCATCTTTGTGAATTTTTTTCAGATTAAAGATAAATTATGTAAATAATTTATTTTTGATTCAAAACGAAAAACAACTTAGAAAATGTTCGTTTTTTACCTCATTCATATAAATTTTTGAGTAATTTCCTTTGAATTTATAATGATTTCTATTTCTCCATATTGTTTAAATTTATTTCTTCATCATCCCACTTTGCTTTATAAATTATCTCAAAGCCTATCTTTGCAAGATATTCAACAATGATAATCTTTCATTCGAATAATTCTTTTTAGAAAATTTATTGCATTCTTTTATTGGATTGTCTATTGATCAACGCACACATTTTCTAACAATCAGTACAAATCATGAGCACATATATTGTGAATTAATAGTAGTTATAATCTTCTTGACAATAATTATATTACTAAATATGAGTATTCCATCTTTGAGCTCAATATAAAACGTAATTATATTGATTTATGAACATGAATTACTGATTTCTAACTTGTAAGATTATTTAACTAGTTAATAAATACAGTTATGTTATGTTTTTTTTTACCGTATTTTGCAGAATATAAGCAACATTCCCATAGTTATTGATGTGAAAAATATAAAGATTCAAATCGCAACAGCGTATCCATTATGATTGTAAAGGCAAGGTTATATCTTGCGAATTGATATGATTCGAAAAATTATAATCGTGAATAACTATCATGAATTTCTCCATCCACATCCAAGTAACTGTATTGCAATGCCTGAAGAACTATACAAAGAAATAAAAAACAATCATATTTTACTATAATAGTTTAAAAATCATCTTTGCGACATCAAGGATTCGATATCTTGGATCTTGGAATATTTACCTAAGGGTATTTACCTCTGGAAGCCCATGACAATCACATTGAATTCGCATGCAAGCTACTTAATAAGCATAATTATACCTAATCCTGAAATTACAGCCATCGGGTTTATCATCCCATTGCTAAAAGACATCAAGAGTCAGAATATTAACATTAGATTTATTTGAATGCTACTTATAAGGATGCATGAGAGCACTATGAACTATATGATATTAGATGTTGATGGTACTGAATTTCTGGTTGCTTCCCTTATACATCTACCGGATATAACAAAGATAATGAACACAAATATGAGTATAGGTAAACATCATTATATCTTTGAAGAGTTTTATTAATTCAGGTTTTGTGTTTATAGACAAGAAATTATACTATGACAAAGGTGTGGGATTTTTGATAATTATATAAATCGGTTGCTAAAATTTAAACTTAAAAAAATGTCAAGCCATCCGATAATTTATAGTATAAATCGAAATGCACTACTTATAATATCAGTCAAGTGAACAATGAGTTTAATTTTGTTAATCTTGCTTGCTATCCAACAGGTAATGATTATAATTCAAGAACTTATAACAATTATTCACCAGTATATCAAGAGTTAATTTTGAAGCTAACGCAAATAGCTTAATTTTTCTTCCTATTAAATCAATAAATATAAACACTTCTCATGTTATAATAGCCTATTCTTAAATGTTTGAATGAAAACGTACATCAATGGTTTCTGGTCAAACTTCTGAATGATATAAATGGTAGAAGATTTATTACCAATTTCTATATGTCAAATGATTTGATTCAATTACTTTTTTAACTTGATGCTGTTGAATTGACATCTTATGGAATGGTTCATTTTAAACGGACAATGGGCTTGTAGATAAAATTTTACATTGGGGTTATAAATATACATGGATTTTTCGTAGATAAAATATTAGGATTAGGTTTTCTTAGATAGCCTTTTCGTAGACTTTGTAGACTTTGAATATTAGAAATGTAAATTATACATGGACTTTTCGTGGTTAGTATGTTTATTGGAATAAAGTCAATGTGAATATAAATAAAGATTATTCAATTCAATAAGTTTTAATTAAAAACTTTATTGAACATTTTAGAAATCCTATTTACTGTACCACAATCGCTGAAAATACAGATATATTTCGTATATGATGTAATGAAACCACATAAATTATGAAACAAGTTTAGTAAATAGAATATTTTAACGAAAACAGGATTTTATAAAGTTTATTATGCTATTTGGAATGATGGACAAAGCAAACCGGGCGATCATAACTTTTTTTTTATTAACAAATCTAACTGGAATGCTAACTTTACAAATATGCTCTCGATGTGATATTTCAGTGGAAATATTAAAATTGACTTGATGCTAATAAGGCTACAATTTGAATATTTATCTATAATATTTGGCTTGAGCGGATTTCGTATGAGCAATTTAGCAAAAAAAACATATGACTTGTTGAAAGTCGATAAAAGATATGTACAAAACCATTCACCATAGAATTTCTATGATTTATATATAAGCAATCAAATAAAAGTTATTCTATTTTTACAATTTACATGTACATGTACGTGTAAAATGTAACTAGAACCGACAATTACAGATAAGAACTCTATGATAAGCCAAAAATCATAACCAACACATGTGCATGTAATTGGATGCAGGACAAATTTATGTCATGTACCCAATACGTTTCACAACGACAATCACTAAATTAGTGCGTATCACCCCAGCAAAAAATGATCGTTATCTTTGCTATTTTAATATCATTTATTATCATTATTACGTTTAACTAAAAATAAATAATTTCTATCTATCGATATTATCATTCTAATTTAATAAAAGATATGGATACCAGTCAAATAGACACAGAAATGACAAACACTGAAGAAATCACTACGTTGAGTTTAATTCCAGAAGAAGAAATAGAAATCGACCCATCATTTAAAGAGATCGTCAACATGTTTAATGCAGAAAAATCAAGAAAAACCGGCGAGAGTCCGGTACATTTCCAAGAGAGACTTGAAAAATACCTCTTTGACAAGCCCGAAAAAACACGAGAAAATTTCTTCAAATTTGTAGAACAACGATCCCACGATCTTGAATACACAATTATCTTGGCGTTTCTTTGTGATCGTGGAATCGGGACATCAATGGATAACAATATAGCATTTGATTATTACAAGCAAGCTGCGGAACAAGGTGACGCATTTTCTCAGTATAGCACCGGACTACGCTATTTTCTCGGGTTCGGCGTAAAGACGGACCGTCGTGAAGCGCAATTCTGGTATCGAAAATCAGCGGAAGCCGGATACATACATGGGCAATTCCAACTCGGGTACTTTTTGACGTTGGGAAAAGATAAAAAAAATAATTGGCCCGAAGCTAAGTATTGGTTAAAGACAGCGATGGCACAAGGCTCAACAAGCGCATTAGACATACTGGGAATAAGTTATGTAAAAGGCCATGGGCCACAAAAGGATATGCGGGTCGGTTGTTGGTATTATCAAAGAGGTGCGATGTTGGGAAATCATAGTTGTCAGTGTGAGATTGCAAAGTATTATCGTGTGGGAGAAGGGGTGCCAAAGGACATTCATATGGCGATAAAGTGGTTTCGAAAGAATGTTGATGCTGGTTTTTCGAAAATCTTATTGGTAGATTTATTTAGAATGCTTGAAGGTTAACATTACTATCTTTAAAAAAATTGTAGTATCTTTGTCCCAAAATAATTTTGAACATATTAATTTAGACACACCACCGTGATTAATTGCTTTTGCAGATTCTTAAGGATGAATACATTTTATCAATTTTTTTATTTTTCGAATCTTAAAAGTTGAATTTTATTTCTTTCTCCTTTTTCGTTTCATTATCAATAGATTATATACAACAGTGCTAGTTACTCAATTTTTGGCTAGATTTTTATGACATTATCATCCATTTTGTGACGAACCTAGTTTCTGCATACCTGTAAACAAGTGATGTTCCTTACAATTTTTATGAATTTTACTTGCTTACCTTTCTTACAGAGATTTCTAGAAAATTATGTTTAATTGCTTTCTTCAATTCCAACTATAACAAATTAACTCTCAACTCTTTAAAATTGCACCTTTTAGTCACGAAAGTCCGATTATATCGAGGGCAACTATATTATAATAATACAATTTATAAATTCAATACATTTAGCCATTTTTTAAAGTTCTGTTGCAATGAAAAAATATTTTATTACCATTATATGATATTTACATGTAAGCTTGTACAAAATGTCAGAAATTGTACATACATACAGCGGGGAACAGCATAAGTCCATCACACCTTCCAATTTTAAAAAATTGATAAACTTTCGATTGAATGACTACATGTATTATTGAAAATTATTCTAGTCAAGTTACTATGACAGAGAAGAAGGTTTTGACTAGAATAATATACATTCAATCGAACGTTTGTCGTTATCAATTTTTTAGAGGGTGTGTTGGTTTATGTTGTTCTTCATTGTTACATACTTACGTATTGCAGTGAAAAAAATTACAGTCAAAACAAAAGGTTAGTAGAAAAAAGCAGTCTCCGCGGAAGGGCCTATGAAGATTGCCAAGAAGCGCCGGACTTCTACCAGAAAATTTTCATTATTTCGCTAATCATCGTTTATCAGTTCATTGCAACTTTAAAAACTGATGCTCTATACCGAATACATGTATACCTAAAATATCCTGAAAAACGTCTCAAACGACTTCCCAAAGAAGTACGAGAACTAATTCGACAGATATTAGGCTGGATGCTACGAAAAAAGCGACAATTTCTGATATCCTATCGCTATTACATGAATAGGACTCGTGCGTCATGCAATGATCATGCACACATTTACCTTTTTTGAATAGAATTGATTAACACATTCACTAACGCTAATAACAGTTGTAATGTTTCGTCATCTTATACCATTGTCTCGACAAGTAGTACATATATGTTAGAATTCCCTGAAATTTTATATTTCTTGTTATTTGTCACACAGTTTTTTTTAGAATTCACTTTATCATAACTTGTAAAAATTAAACTTGTATTAAAACTAAAATCAAATTTATAGTAACATTTAACAGATAAGCAACAGATACACGAGTTCAGTTCATTTATTTATTGATTTATCTATCGTTATATTGACTACGACCAGAAATAAAAATATTGAAACTACAGATTACATATTACATTTACTGCTATGATTATATCGTTAAATTCAGTATTCGCATTTTATCGCTATATCTCAAGTATTACATACTATTACAATTTACTCTCATTATAATGAAATTCTTGGTATAGTGAAGAAGTTTCTCGGAATCTTTTATAAACTTCAATTAAATACAGTATATATTATTCTCTCGTTATAGTGAGGATTTTTTAACTTTCACTTATTAATTCACCATAAAAGGGGGGGGGGGGGGGTTGAGTTTAATACATTTGTCTCTAATTAATAAGTCAATATAAATTATTTGAAGTTATGCACCATAATATTACTCCATGGCTGCATAATATAAAAAATTATAATAACAAAAAATAATTTTGTTTTTGATACATGAGTGATAAAAATGAAAATTTCAATAAAATGAATTTTTTTATATTTAAATAAATGTGCATCATAATAAACATTATTTTTAAAAAACGAATGAAATTAAAAACGCATTGGATCTGGACTAAATGATTAGATGGGTGTAAAATTACGAGATTTTCAAATAGAGATGTTTCTAATTTTTATCGTTATCGTTATACATATGCACATTTAGCATTAGGGTGTTAATTGTAAAATTTTACTGTGCTCTTTTAATTTAAATGTATTCTAGATTTAAATTTGATAAAAATTGATACTATAATCTACGAGAACCTTAAATGCAAAATAAAATTAATTAAGATGATTTGACAAGGTAAAATTTCAGTAGGTATATTCTTTAGGATATTGGACATCAAAGCCAACATCAATTTAATAAACATAATCAAAAAACATCATTATAAGCAAATGTTTTTTATTATAGCCAGGGATTTTTCAAAAGCTCGCAATAACCAAATCTCGCTTCAGAGATAATATATAGAGTTTTGATTGTAGTAGATTTCATTATAAGTTTATTTCAATCTCATTCAATAATAATAATGTTTGATGAAACTAAAAAGCAAATAAATGTTAGGCTAAAAATGACATAAAAGTAAATATATAATACAAAGATGACACAATTATAAAAAAATAATTTGCAAAATTGTAGTTTCATAAAAAGAATGATTTTACCAAAAAATTAGATCTCCTTTTCTACAAACAAAACTTATATTATTATCCTTTCATTGATAAAATTTTAAACGAATTGAATATAGTGAATCATACTCTCAAATTAGATAATTTCTGTTTGAGTTTGGAACCTGCAAGTTAAAAAAACCGATTTTAGGATACATAGGTAATGCTAACAATATGCAAAATAAAAATTATGATTTCTTTATTTTATATACAACCTACTTGCAAATAGTTTACTTTTCAAGAACCAGCTAACATTGTGCTAATAACATAATTAAATTATAGTTAATTTATAGAATACAAACAATTAAATTTTTGTAAATTTCAAAGTCTTTAAGATATTAATATTCTTAATTTATGCCAATTTCAGCTAATATATGTATCTTTTACTCTAAATAGAATTTCCTTTTACATATATTATAAGATTATTATTATTCAGGGAATTTTCCAAAAATGATCATATTTAACCTATATATCAGTCATTCAGTTATTCTAATTGTGAATCTAAACTAAATTCAAATCCTTAAGATAACTGTAAAATGAGATCTTAAGAATAAGACAGTTTTTATCATTTATTATATAACTTTTAAATATATTAGTTGCATATATTTAGCTTATGGACTAATTATTTATTATTTATATTTGAATTCAATTATTATAAAGACAGTAACTCTCAAAATTTTAAAATATCTATTAAATATTATTTCATTAATAAATCTTAATTTCAGAATAAAATCGTTAGATGCTAATTCATACTCATAATAATCTAATTTCAGATTAATTCTTTAAAGTAAAAGTGCTTAAAAAATAAAAATTTGTTTCTGTTTAACAACACATCAAATACAGAAAATAATTCATATAGGTTCTTTAATAATAATGAAGTAATAAATATAAGATATAAGCTATCAAGTTATAAACAAAAATAACAATTTAATAAAAATTCAAATGATATTTATAACTATGAAGTTGTTTTTCTATTCTCAAAGACAAAATATCTAGAATAGTAGATGAAAACAAAATGGTGACATACAATATTAATATTTCGATTTTTGATATTTAGATTAGAAATAATAAATAAAAGAATTAGTTTGAATAAACTTCCTCAAAATTGAAAGACTCAATCATTTCTGGAGCTCGATCATGTTCATTTTCTTTAGCCTTTTGATACCACTTTAAAGCTAAGTCGAGATTTTTTGAAACACTTATTCCATATTGATAAAATTTACCAATGTTAAATTGAGCTTTATTATGTCCAGACTCAGCTGCCCTTAAATACCAATCAAATGCTTTATTATCATCTTTAATAGTTCCTTCTCCATATTCATAACATTGCCCAAGTCGAAAATATGAATTATAATTGCACTTTTCAGAGGAACGTAAAAGATAGTCAAATAAAAGTTTTTCCATTTCTTTTGTACGTGAATTTCTTTCATAACTAAATCTTAATAAAAATTGGCTAAGCACATTATTAGAATGAGCATATTTTAAATCAATTTCCCATGCCTTATCTTCATCCTTTTCTACGCCTATTCCTAATTCGTAAAACCTGGCAATAAAAAACTGAGCTATAATATTTCCAGATTCTGCTGCCTTCAAACACCATTCGAATGCTTTTTGTTCATCTTTAATTGTTCCTTCTCCATCTTTATAACAAATAGCAAGATCACATTGTGCTTCAGAAACTCCAGACTCTGCTGCTTTCAAATACCATTCGAATGTTTTTTTTTCATCTTTAATTATTCCTTGCCCATTTTTATAACAAAGAGCAAGATTATATTGTGCTTTAGAATGTCCAGATTCTGCTGCCTTCAAATACCATTCGAATGTTTTTTGTTCGTCTTTGATTATTCCTTCTTCATTTTTATAACAATGAGCAAGATTATATTGTGCTTGAGGAATTCCAGACTCTGCTGCTTTCAAAATCCATTCGAATGCTTTTTGTTCATCTTTGTTTGCTCCTTCTCCATTTTTATAACAAAGAGCAAGATTATATTGTGCTTGAGGAATTCCAGACTCTGCTGCTTTCAAATACCATTCGAATGCTTTTTGTTCATCTTTGATTGTTCCTACTCCATTTTCACAACAAAGAGCAAGATTATATTGTGCTTGAGGAAATCCAGACTCTGCTGCTTTCAAATACCATTCGAAAGTTTTTTGTTCATTTTTGATTGTTCCTTCTCCACTTTTATAACATTGAGCAATAACATATTGTGCTTGAGGAATTCCATCCTCTGCTGCTTTCAAATACCATTCGAATGCTTTTTGTTCATCTTTGATTGTTCCTACTCCATTTTCACAACAAAGAG